TATGTTGTAGTGTGAGGGTCCCCAGGATGAGGTGAGAGATGAGAATTGACTCCAAGTTCTCAGAAAGCTGATTTATTATTATATTAATTATATATAATATAAGTAGTATATATTATATATATTCTACATTATATTAATTATATATTATATAATATATTATATATTATATATTACATTATAGATTAGATTAATTATATATTATATATAATGTTAATATTGTATATTACATTATAGATTAGATTATATTATGTTAAAATTATATACTAAAACTATACTAAAGAAAGAGAAAGGAGACATTAGAAGGCTGGACAAGAATGATTATAAAAACCCATGACAGACTCAGAGTCTGACACAGCTGGCTGTGTTTGGTTCCATGTGAATTGTTTTTAATTAATGACCAATCAAAGATGCACCTGTTGGTAAGCAACCTCCAAACCACATTGCAAGAAATCAGATAATTATTGTTTAAATTTCTTTCTTGAGGCTTCTCAGGAGACAAACCCTGGCGAAGGGATTTTTCATAAAATATCATGGTGACAATCCCAGCCCTGCTCACCTCGTGCTCTGTGATGTTGATGAGAAGCTCCTGCTGCAGGAACTGCTCCAGGATGTACTTGGGAGCCATGTCAACCAGGGACTGGAAGGAAAAGGCCCATCAGAGGTGGCTGGGGCAGCCCTGGCAGGGCTCAGAGCTGCACCTGCGTTCACACAGGCACAGGCAGGCTGGGAATGAGCCCGTGGATCTCCTGGAATAGGGAAACATCCCTTTTTCCCTCCCCCACCTGCTGACTGCTAGTGGGTCCTCAGCTGTGCCACTGCCACCAGGACCAGCGGCTCTGCTTGAACACATTTGGGTGCTAAATAAGAGCCTGTGCTAAGGTACAACAGGCTCTAGCAAAAGCTTTCCTCTGGAGGGAAACTCAGGGCTTTTATTTACCCAGACAAGGAAAACCTTCACAGCTCCTGAGGGGGACACAGACCTGCTTGGCCGAGGGGGTCATTCCCTGCTGCACCACGATCAGTGCCCGGGTGATGTTCTCCTCCTGCATGCGCTGGCAGTACATCTTGATCGTCTTGATGCCCACCTTGGGCTCCTCTGAGGAAAGAACCAGACCAGGGGTCACCGAGAGCACTCGGAACTCCCCTCCCCGGGGGCTCACAGACCCAGAGCTGTGCTCCGAACATTCCCTGAGGGCACAGGGGGACCCCGGCTCATCGAGAGCCCCCCACGCTCCGAACCCCAGAGTCCCGGCATGGAGCGGGCCGGCGCTGCTCACCGGGGAAGAACACGAACATCTGGTCCGTGGGATCATCGTTGTGAGCCACCAGCACGGTCAGGTCGGTGCGACGGGGGCGGCCCTCGCTGGGTTTGTCCCCGAACTGTGCTTTGAACTCCTCCAGCGTCTGATCCAGCTCGTCCTGGGTCACCAGGTACCCGCGGTCGTGGCACAGCTACAGGGGCAGCACCGGGCTCAGCAACCGGCAGGCAGAGCGGTCCCCACGCCCCCCACCTCCACCCTGCGGCCCCACCGGCACTCCCCATACAGTGGGCTCGGCCCTCCCGGTCCCTCCGGTGCCCCAGACCTGCATGATGGTCTTGCGGATCTTCCACAGCCGGTACGTCTCCTCCTCGTCGTCCATCTTGGCCGCTGAAGGCTGCGCGGGCTGCCTGCGCTGCCGCCTGCCCCGCGCGCGTGCACGGGGGGCCTCAGCCGCGGCGCCTCCTGGGAGATGTAGTCCGCCGCCAGCTGTCCCCCGCCGCTGACTCCGGAGGAAACGGGCATCACTCTGCTGCTGTCGGCGTGGGGCTCTGGGTGGCTGCGGATCTACTCGGAAGTCGCGGCCGGTCGGGAGGGAATTGCCGCCCGGGAGGCGCGGCTCGCAGCACCTTGTCTCCAACCCCGCCCTTTGGTCCGTCCTTGCCCCCCGCCCTCGTGGTCTCTCCTGATAAACACCCCGGCGGCCACCCCGCCTATTCTGCCCTTCTATTGGTCAACTTTCTATCCATCATCCCCCTGAGGCCGCCTCTCTGCGCGCTGATTGGCTGGTGGGGCCGAAAGGGGCGGGTTTTGTGCGGGATGGGCTGGGGCGGCGCGGTGCGGGGCGCGCTGTGGTGCGCGCGGGCGGCGGCGCGGACAGCGCTCCTGGGACCGGGGCTGATTGCGGCGCGGAGCATGGTGAGCGCGGGGCTGCCCCGGGAGCGCGGCTCGGCCCGGCCCGCTCCGATCCGGGACCGCTCTGGGACTGGGGCTGGGCCCGGGTCTCTCCCGCGGGGTGCCCGGGGTGGGCGGCGGGGGCTCGGGCCTGGCCTGGCCTGGCCTGGCCTGACGGGGGCTCGGGCCTGGCCTGGCCGGGGCGCGGAGAGGGGCCCTAAGGGGAGCGGAGGTGGCGGGGCCGGCGCCGCAGTGATGCTCTCGCCCCGCAGTGTGCCCACGCGGACGACTGGCGCTCGGCCAAGGCCATCTACGACTTCGTCGCCGTCGACATCGATGGCAACGACGTGTCCCTGGAAAAGTACCGGTAGGACGGAGGGGTCGGGGAACGCAGCGCTGGGGCGAGGTTGAGCCACTGAGGCTCTTGCGTAACCCTCACGCCTCGCCCCGGCGGGTGAGGGACCTCTGCCCGTGCCCTGTGGGGAAGGGCAGCTCATCCACCCCCTCTGCAGGGGCGACGTCTGTATCATCACCAACGTGGCCTCCAAGTGAGGGAAAACGGCGGTAAACTACACTCAGCTTGTCGATTTGCACGCCCGATACGCTGAGAGGGGTTTACGCATCCTGGGATTTCCCTGCAACCAGTTTGGGAAGCAGGTACGTGGGGTGGGGGGGCTCGGGTTCCCCGGGAGTGTTGGGATGGACCGAGGGACCCTCACGGTGCTGGTGTGGCCCCTCAGGAGCCCGGGACCAACGCTCAGATCAAGGCATTTGCTGAGGGCTACGGGGTGAAGTTTGACATGTTCAGCAAGATCGATGTCAACGGGGACGACGCTCACCCGCTCTGGAAGTGGCTGAAGGAGCAGCCCAAAGGGAGAGGCACGCTGGGCAAGTGAGTGTGGAAGGGAGAGCCCTGGGGACCCACAGCCCTGCAGCCAGCAGGGAGGGCTTGGCTCAGGGAGGGTGAGGAAGGGCTTTTCTGCCCAAAACTCACTTGTGTTTTTCTTCTCCTAGTGCAATAAAATGGAACTTCACCAAGGTAAGACACTGTAGTGGTTGTGGTTGCTTTTTCTGGGCTGTATGTCCCTCTGGGGATCTGAGGGGGCTCGCTGGTGTAGGAAGGAGCCTCACACTGGGCTCTCTCAGGTGCCAGGGCAGGAGCATCCCAAGGGGTTTCTGTGTCTAGAGACCCTTGGGAACCCCTGCCCTGCGCAGAGCACAGCTGAGGGGGGAAGTGAGCCTGTGAGGGCTCTCACTCTGCACTCTGCACTCACTCACCAGGGGTTGCTTCATTCCCACAGTTCCTCATTAACCGGGAAGGTCAAGTGGTGAAGAGGTACAGCCCGATGGAAGATCCCATTGTAAGTGCTGCTGCTGGGGAGCAGGACAAGGCTGGGGATGTTCTCGGGGTACAACGCTCCCCTCTTCCCCACAGGTGATCGAGAAGGACCTGCCTGCCTACCTGTAGCTCTGCTCTGCTGTCCCCCTGCCCATCCCAGCCCTGCTGCCCACGGAGCCTCCTCCAGCCCCATGAAGGGCTGCCTCCAATCCAGCTGCTGGTGGGGCAGCCCTGACCCACGGCGTGCACCTGCTGGACAGAGGCTCCAGGGGCCGTGGCCGCTGCGGGCAGGAGCAGCCAGAGCCCCCTCAGAGTAAAGAGTTCCCCTGCAATAAAGGCGTTAGGAATGAGCTGCTGTGTTGGCTGTGGGATGGAGCAGGGATGGGGCTGGGGCTGCTGCGCCACTCTGCTGACAGCCTGGAGTTTGCTGGCAAGCCAAGACCTTACACAACTCCTAAGCCAAGCTGGGATAATCCTCAGCGTTGAGGAGGAAGTGCAAATCCGGCATGATGTGTGCTCCTGAGGGGCTCCCTGGGCAAAGGCAGAGCTGGGGAAGGTTTGTCCCCTCTGGGATCCCTCCTGTGCCCCCCTCTGGGATCCCTCCTATCTCCAGGAATCCTGGCAGGGCAGGGCAGCAGAGGGGATGGGTCCAGCAGTGGTGCAAGCCCTGGCCAGGAGAAATTCCTGCAAAACAGAAGCCAGGCGTGTTGGGACATGGCAAAGCATCCCCTGCAGCCAGGGATGTGTCTGACCACAGCAAGCAGGATCATCCTCCTCCTCCTCCTCCTCGGGGCAGCGTCTTGGTGGTTGTGAAGCCACAGCCGTGCCCAGCCAAGCCCATGGGGCTGGTGTCCCATCCTAGGCAGGGACAGCTCAGGTTCTGCCATGCAGGAATGCTGCTGCACCTCCTCCCAGGGCCTGGGGAGTGCTGGCTCTCCCTGGCACATCCACAGCCCCCTTGGGGAGTTTGTCCCCAGGAACAATCCCAGGGTCTCCCAAGTGTGACACCCCTGCAGAACCTCCAGCACATCAGGGATGCAGGGAGGATCCTGCTCACATTTAGGGATCACTCACTGGGGGTCACCCCATCCCTCCTTCCATGAGACAACAGGACCAGCAGTGCCTGGATGAGACATCCCAGAGCTGGGGGAGCACACTGGAACAGAGGCTCCTTTATCTGTGTTTTTCCAGCCAAGCCAGGAGGGAGCTGCCTCATCCAAGGCTGGATCCAGCCAGGATCCTCCTCTGCCCGAGCTGTGGCTTCTCCCAGGGAGAGGCTTGGGACACCAGCCCTCAATGTCACCGATTTGGTGACACAGGAGATACAAAGTCCAGCTGCCAGCAGGATGCTGGCCCAGGGATTCCTGATCCAAGTCCCAGCTGGGCTCCTGGGACAGGCTGGATAGACCAAGAGATAGAGACAGAGCTGGGAGTTACAGAGATCTCACGTTTGGCTTCTGTTCCATTTTTACTGAGCAGAATGAAAAATTATCCTTCTGAGGCAAGTAGAAAATTCAGAAATTATTAGTCCAAGGCACATACTCTAAAAAAATCTCTTTACATATGTACAACTTAATTATAAATATACATAGAAACAAGGGCAAACAACAAGCAGATTAAAAAGTGCCAACACAAAGGTGTCAGGGAAGAAAACAGGGACTCATTAAAAATACAATCAGTAGGACAACTGCAGAATAATTTAGTTAAAAGGTAACATTACATATTATTAACCCTGACAAAACATGGGATTGGGGCAGGAAAGGGATTCCTTGCAGGTGGTCTCTGTCTTTCCAGAGACCAGGGAGGGAAGATTGCATATATTTAAAAGTTAAGGTCAAAGCCACCAGGTAAGGCTCCGGTGACAGCAGAGGGTGCCCAGCAGGGAATTCCCCCTCGCTATTCCTGAGTTTAAACCTCTTTGAGCTGGGTTTTCCCGGCGTCCTTTTCCCTCATTGTTGGGAATTCGGCCCCAAGCGAGCAGTGCTTTAAATAGGGGGAGGGTGTGGAGAGGGGCAGCCTGGCTCTGCCTGGCCCGGGGAAAGGCTGCTGGGGTGGAGAGAAGCAGAGCTGGGGGAGAGCAGGAGCCCCCGGGGCAGCAGCAGGGCTTTGGGGGGCACAGGGGGCTCCCCCATCTTTGGTGATCACGTTGAGGTAAGGAGGTGAAATGTGGCCCCGACTGCAGGGATTGAGCCTGGGCTGGTGCTAAGCTAGGGAGGGGGGTAAGGACAGGCCCCCCAAAACGAAATTCAGGGACCAGAGTAGCCTCAAACTGAGCCCACCTGTGCGTGACACCAGGGCAGGTCTGTGACCTTGGGTGTTGGGGGTCAGCTCCTGCCACAGCCAGAGCACAACACCTGGACACAGACCCAGAGCAATTCCCAGCACCAAACGGGCACTGGGCCAGCCCCTGAGCCCTGGGGGGACATGGGGGTGACACCACCAGGCACTGTGAAGCTCCAGCCCCCTCAAAACTGCCCTGTTAGGGCATAGAGTGCCCCCTTCCCCAAGGGCTCTCTGGGGAAGGGCCCAGGCTCTTGCCTGAAATCATCCTGGTGCCACTTTTGGGAAAGGCTTTGATGCCCTCTGTCCTGGCGTGGAGGCAGCAGGGGGTGGGGCAGTGCTTTGCAAAGCAGCCTTTGTTCTTTGGTATCCGAGGGGGAGGTTGCAGCAGGAGCAGCCAAACTGCAAATCCCGGGTGGTGACAGTGACACTGCACACCCTGACCAGTGACACTGACACTGCACATCCTGGGCAGTGACAATAACACTGCATATTTCAGACAGTGACACTGACACTGCACACCCTGAACAGTCACTCTGCACATCCTGGTCAGTGCAAAGATACTACACACCCCAGCAGTGACAATGACGCTGCACAACCCGGCTGGGCTGCCCTGACCCAGACCCCTGGACCAGGGCAGTGGCAGGACCAGCGAGATGTCCAGGTGAAGGGACAACATGTGACAGCAGGAAACTGGCCAAAGCACATCTGGTCACGGCGACCTGGTGAGGTTAAAGTGCAGGACAAAGGGACATGTGTCCCTTCTGCTCTGGAGAATCCTGCTGATCCTGGCGTGGCTGAGCTCTGACAGACTCCAGCTCTGTCTGTGGGGTGCAGCCAGCTCAGGCAGCTCAAGGTCCCTTCCTGGCAAGGGCAGCACAAACAGTTTTGGATCTCACACTACACCCGCTCAGCCCTGCCAGAGGACATCTGAGCTCAGCATCTCCCAGCTCCTCTGGGACAACATTCCCTTCCCCTTCATCCCAGCCTGCCAGCACAGCCCCAGGGTCTGCAGCAGCGCTGGGGCAGCCCAAGCTGGGGGCTGAACTCCCATTCTTCCCTAACTGACCAGCATGTGGTCATTCCAGAGCCTGGCCATGACCCTCCTGGGCTGGAGAAGGCTCGGACACTCAGTAGTCTGCAGGGGGTGGGCACAGGAGGGGTCTCCCCTCAATCCACCTGAGCACTGACCTGTGAGCAGGACTCAACCCAGCAGAGCCCCTCAGCCCAGCAGGACCTGCTCAGCCCCCCCTGGGCACGTTCCATACACACCTGCACATGCCTGACTAGATATTAGATATAAATAAAATTCACTTTGAGGAACTCCAGGCTCTTTCTTCCCTCAAAACCAGAGCAGAGTCAGTCCAAACCAGTAGAAAAGTCTGGGCTCCTCAGCTCTCACCTCTGCACCAGAGAACACAGATCCACAGCAGCATTCCCAGCTGGCACTCAGAAGCCTGAGAAAGGCCCAGTGAACTGGATCACGCTCTGGCGCTCTGCAGGGAGCATGTTCTCCTGGGAGGGCTCGTTCAACGTCCTCAGCATGTCCTCCAGGATCTCTCTAAAATTGATATTCCCGTCTTGCTGGAGAAAATCCTCCTGTGGCTGCTGCAGGGGGGCTGGGGGGGGCAGGACAGGGGGCTCGTGCAGTGAGGGGCCGGGGGCTGTGCTGCCCTCCAGGCCAGGAGCGTGGCCAAAGCCAAAGGACAACCTGTGCTGCTGCTGGGGGGGCTGCTGGGGCTGCACGGGGGGCTCCGAGGAGAAGCAGAGCGCTCTGGTCTCGGGGTTCAACACCAAGTCAGGAATGCTGTTGCTGGGAGGGCTGTAGGTCAAGTCCAGGATCTCGTCCTGGCACAGGGAGGGCAGGGGCAGCCCGGGCACTGGCAGGAGGTTCAGTGGCAGGGAGAAGGGTGAGCTCTGCTCCTGGGCCTGGAGCAGCCGGCTCTGCTTCCTCTTCACGTCCTCGTCCATCTGCTTCAGCTCCTCCCGCACCCTGTGCACGCAGCTCTCGGGGATCTTTATCCCTGGGGGAGGAACAGACATCAGTCCCCTGTGGCAGGACCTTTCACCCCCGACACTGCAAAACCTTATCTCCCCGTGACACGTGGCTAAGTCACGCTGGAATTGTCATGTGATTAATTATCTTAGCTGAAAACCTCCTTAGCCAGCAAGAAGCATTCTGTCTTGGTGTAAGAAAGGAAACAGAACACAAGCATTTTTACAACTATAAAAGACCACTATGATTTTCATGAAAGCAGAAATCTCTAATACGCTCTCTGAGTGTGTGGAAAGTTCTCAACAACCAAGTCATGGCCATCAAGTTACTTCCCCTGGGGATTGAGAGAAATTAAGGACATTCTCTGCACACTGCTATCATTTGTTGCTCAGTGACATTGACTCCTAATTTATACTATTTCTTTGCCAGCTGTAACATGGGTACCTTTATCTCCTAGTGGTGTTTCTTTTGTTTATCCTGTGAAGCAAGTGAATCTGTTTATGTCTGTTTTCCTTGGCCTATTCAAATAAATAATTCATGGCCTGATCAGTCATTATAAAGAACTTGCAAGTGAGAGTGGGTTTTGGGGTGCTGCCTACTGCCAGACACCTGTCAAAGGCAGGGACTTGTCTAAGCTCTCCCCTCTCCATCCATAATATTCCCACAGCCCTCTGGGAAGGGATGGGGCAGGATAACGGACCTGGCTCACCCCCTCTGCCCCAACACATCCAACTCCCCTCCTGGAAGGGAGGAATCGGTGCTACCACCTTGTGTGCTGGAACACGCCCATTTTAAGAAGGAAATCTTGATGCTGGGCAGCTGGACCCCTTCCCCCTGCTCCCCTTCCCACACCAACACTTCACACACCAACTTGTTTCTTCTTCTCCTTGGTCTTGAGGCGCACGATCTGCAGGTAGCTGCTGCTGGTGATGTCTGCCATGACGCCGGCGATCCTGCTCCACACGCGCAGCAGGGCCCCACACAGCATGTAATAGTGCCTCAGGCGCATGCCCTGGAAGCATTCCTTCCCCTCCTGGATCAGCTTGCAGCTCTTGTTCCTTCGAGGAGCATGGGAGAAAACCACTGGGATTAGCAGAGGTTCCTGGAGCTGAGCGGGATTCGCTTCCCCGCAGCCTCCCCCAGTGCCACAGTCAGGGACCCCCAGGGTGCAGGGTCCTGCCTAGGGAGGGAGGAATGGCTTGAAGCTGAAAGTGAGGAAATGTAAATTGGATGTTGGGAAGGAATTTCTCCCTGTGAAGGTGGTGAGGGCCTGGCACAGGCTGCCCAGAGAAGGTGTGGCTGCCCCATTCCCAGAGGAGTTCAAGGCATCCATCCAGGTTGGATGAAGCAACCTGGTGGAAGGTCTCACTATCCATCCCTGCCATGGAACTGGATGGGCTTCATTTAAGGTCCCTTTGAACCCAAACCATCCTGAGATTCTGTGGCAGGCTGGGGCTGCAGCTGCCTTACCACACTGCGTGGTTACAGTTCTTCAAGGAGAAGTGGTAGCTGTTCTCCCAGTGCTCCTTGGCCTCCTCAGGCAGCACCTGCAGCAGAACACTCAGCATTAGGAATTTTCCACTGTCCAGGATGAAGAGACTTGAAATCCAGGGCTGGGAGTCAGGACACCTGGTGCTACCACCATCCCTGCCCATCCACAACAGAGCCACGAGGAGCTGTGGCAGGGTTACAATGAATGCCCTTCCAACCTCCCCACTCTGGAGGCTGCAGGTTCCACCTACCTGTCTGTACTTCTTCTGCAGACTGTCCAGGCTCTCAAGCTGGCTTTGCTTCCCAATATTTGGCTTGTAGAGGATGAAGTTCTTCCCACGGCACTGCTCTGCCAGCAGACAGGTGTATTTGTTGCCTCGCACCTGTGGGGTACAGCTGATGGTCACAGGCACAGCCTCCCTCCCCATATTTCTCTAAACTAACCCCTTCCTGCCAGGATGGAGGTCCTTGGAGGCATTTCCCAGCCCTCAGGAAGAGTGACCTTGTACACCATGGCAGATTTCCTGAGCTGAGGTGCCATCCAAGCCCAGGGACGTACCTTGTAGGAGAGGTAGAACCCATCATAGGTTCCTGTCAGTTTGAGCGACTTCTCATAGGCTTCCTCCCACTTTAAGCCTCTGTCAACGCTGATCTGAACAGGGACACACAGAGGGATTTGTGACTCCAGGGGCAGGACAAGTGCCTCGGTGTCTGCCTCACAAATCTCCCCTCAGCACAGCCTAGATCCAGGCATAGACAGGTGCCCACCTTGTAGAACACAACCTGCCCGTCCTGCGGGTGCCCTGGGGTCAGGAAAACCTCCTTGCTCTCCTCGTAGATCTCATCCACTCCTGGGGCTAAATCTGTGCAAGGAGAAAAGGCTGTTGTAAAGAACATCCTCCCAAAAGCACCTCCTTGGGTGTCAGGATCTGTGCTGGCTGGGGACACTGTACAGGGAGGAACTGGAACCCCAGAGCTGTGACCACCCTTCCTTCTCCATACCAAGGATGCCCATGTCATATTTGCCCTCCTTCTTGTCCTTCTCAATCAGGTAGTCAAAGGTGTCAGAAAAATACTGGAAGAGCATGTTCTGCTTGTCCACCTCCAGGCCCAGGATGCGGTTCAGGAATTTGGTGATGGAGCAGTCTGCAAGAGCACAGTGAGTCAGGTGAGATGTGGTGCAGCTGGACATGGAGCCCACCAGCCCCCTCCCAAAAAGCCCCCCCAGAAGCCCCACCATATCCCTTCTGACAGCCCAGGCAGCCAAGGACTGTTCCTGTGAGGAAGCTGGGGGGCCATGGGATCTGCAGGGCCATGGGATCTGCAGCACAGGACCTTCCTCACAAGGCAAGCATCTTGCCCAGGTGCCCAGCAAACCCCACGAGGTCAGGCAGGCCATGACACTCCCATTCTCTTCCATCTGCCCCCTGCCTTGGGCAGGAGCAGCTCCACACCTACCCTTCTCCACGGAGACAGTGCCATACTTCATCTGGCTGCAGCAGATGCCCACAGAGATGAGCCCTTGCTTCATTTCTGCAATGCCAGAAGACATCTTTTGTATTTTGGGGTTAAGCCTCCCACCAGCATTCCTGCAGGACTGTTTACTCTTCAGGAACTCAGCCACTCCCCATGCCTGGCAGGTGACATAAGCCAGCAGCACTTTCCCCTCTGTTTTCTCCCTCTGACCTCCTGCTCGGTTCTTCCAGCATCCCAAACCTGAGACCAACCCATCCAGCAGAAACCCTGGAGCTGGAAATGTTCTTACCACGGAAAAAGTTGTCTTCCCCTCTCTCGTAGCTCCTGGGCACAGGAACCCTGCTCTCTGAGTGGTTGAGGATCGTGGACAGGACCTTGTCCAGGGCTTTGGCCCCGTACTGTGGGAGGAGACCAGAGTCACACATGGGAGGAACAGACATGGAAGCTGAGCTGGGCTTGAGGGGACAGTGCTGAGGGTGACACTGCTGAGGGTGACACTGCTGAGGGTGACACTGCTGTGAGTGTCACTGCTGAGGGTGTCACACACTGCTGAGGGTGACACTGCTGTGAATGTCACTGCTGAGGGTGTCACACACTGCTGAGGGGACACTGCTGAGGGGACACACACTGCTGAGGGGACACACACTGCTGAGGGTGTCACTGCTGAGGGTGTCACACACTGCTGAGGGTGACACTGCTGAAAGGACACAGTGCTGAGGGTGACACTGCTGAGGGGACACAGGCTGCTGAGGGTGACATTGCTTAGAGTGTCACACACTGCTGAGGGGACACACACTGCTGAAGGGACACACTGCTGAGAGGACACATACTGCTGAGGGTGTCACACACTACAGAGAACACTGTCACCCCAGGAAGGCCACAGACAAGGCAAGGGGGAAGCTGTGTGAGTGCCTCCCATGTCCCCAGGCCCTTCCCTGGGGGCAGAGGGCTGGGTGCCCTTCCCAGCTCCTGGTGAGAAGAGTCCTCAGTGTGACCATGACTCCGAGCTTGCAGGAGCTGGGTGCTAGACTGGGCCCTGCCTGCAGCCATTAGCAATGATCCTCCTGCCTCTGGCTCCCTCTCCCAGCTCTTCCAACATCCTGTCAGCCACGCTGCCCCAGCCCAGCCCTGTCACCTTGTTCTCGAAGTTGTACTTGCTGAGGTCTCGGGACTCGGTGGCCCGTCGGTCCCCGTGAGTTAAGGCACCCTGGGAAGGCAGATGGAGCAAAAGGTTCTTATTCTGAGCTCTTGCAAAACACCAGAGAAGGATGGCCAAAGGCATGTCTGCAAATGTGCCATTGGGAGGCAGTGTTCCTCCAGAATACTGAGACTTTACCAAAGGATTTGGGGATTTAGAAGTGAAGAAAATGAAACAGAGGCAAATTAATTATTCCATTAATTATTTCATAAGCTTTTTGGGAATAACATAGGTGTATACTCCAGTAATAGTGGGGAAATTGCAGCATCTGGAAGCAGGTGCTTGCTCCCCTGAAATTCCTCCCAAAGCCTCAGTTACATATTCTCCTCACTTCCTTTCCCAAATCCCAGGACGCTAAAAGCCATTCCATGACTGCAATGCCTCAGCCAGGGGTGACACAATCCCCCCTTGGCCATGTTGGTGGGAGCTCTGACCCAGAATCTCCTCAGAGGGAATCAAGAGCCGTGTTGGGATCACAGCTGTGGGCACTCACCAGGCTCTCCAGGCGTTTTGCCACGATGGATGCAAACCTCCTCTCCCCTGCCAGCTCTGAGATGAGGAACACGTACTCGGGAGCAGAGACCTGGTTGGATCGATGTGTTCGGCCTGCATGGGAATAGGGGTGGAACAGGAGCTTGGGATGGCCTGTCTGGAACGGGAATGTAACCAGAAAAGCCACATAATGCCCATCCTTCTCACCCTGGGGAGTCCCTCCTCTGCCCCAGAGCTCAGGGCTATAATCCCAGCAGCACCAGTGACTGTGCCTCTGTTCTCCTCCCACACAGACATCCCTTAAATCCACCTTGGGCTCCCCCCACACCTGACCCTCCCAGGGCCCATCCCACAGCCTGGCCCATACCCAGGGGAGGTGACAGTGCCCAGGGACACCCAGCCCTCACCAAACTGCTGGATGGCCCGGTCTGCACTCCAGGGCAGCTCCAGGGTCATGTGCACCCGGCGCTTCTGGTTCTTCACCCGTCTGTCTGCTTGGAGGGAGATCCCTGAGCTGGAGGCCTCTGAGATTATCGCCACGAGCTACAGAGAGATGAGTGAGAACAGAGTCAGGCTCCTGAAAACACGTTAAACAGCTTCAAGAAACAGCCCCGGGTACTACAGCAGCCCCAGCCCTTGAAGGGACCTGGGAAGCTTTGTCTCCTTCCAGCAGGTGAAACCCACAGAGAGCTGCTGGCAGGGCACAGGGACGCACAGACACCCTCCCTGCCCTCCCCTAGCAACACCCTCAGTCCTGTGCAGGTTTTCAGAGCCCAGCTCACCTTTTCCCCCTGCATGAAACGCTCCTTCTCCTTCAGGTTGACGTGGTCTATGGAGAGCCCTTGCTCGGCGCGCGACTCGAACACGACGGAGCCGTCGGGCCTGCGAACCACCCGTCCCTTCCTGCCTGTCATCTGCACACAGGACAGGGGCTGCTGCAGCCTGGGGAGCCACACAGCCCAGCAAGGCCAGCCAGGCAATTCCCAGCAGGGAGAGGAAACACTCTGCCAGCAAGAACTTTCTTTTTTTTTTTTAATAGAAGAAATTTTTCTCTATGCCCAGAGCAGCTGTGGCTGTCCTATCCCTGGAAGTGCCCAAGGCCAGGCTGGATGGAGTTTGGGGCAACCTGGGATAGTGAAAGGTGTCCCTGCCCAGGGCAGAGGGGTGGAATGAGATGATCTTTAAATTCCCTTCCCACCCAAACCATTCCATCCTTCTCTGATTCTTCACTGTCCTTTCCTTGTCACTCAGTGCCACCAAAACACACTGACAGTGGGACGTACCTCAGCTACATTCTCTGGGCCCCCAAAATAATCAATCAGTTGATCCAAGGTGTTGAGAGGTAGCTCTTTGCCCAGTGCTTTCACTTTTGCTAGGAGGTCCTGTTTCATCTTTTCGACCTTCAGCTCTCTCAGGCCGTGCAGCTCTTTCTGGGAAGGCAGCATGTGGAAACCACCTACAATGGGAAAAAGGCAGAATTTTAGAGTTCCCTGGTAACTGCACATCAGACAGGGGGGAAAAAGTTGTCCCAGAGGGTTTCTGGGGCCACTGCTGCTGGACAAAGGCACTATGACCTACCAGTGAACACACAGCTTAGGGGGACCCTGGGGACCCCCAAACAAACTGCTCCACCCCTCCCCAGCTGTGCCTGTCACTGCCCTGCTCACCCCTGTCCTCGCTGAAGGTGTGATCCACGAAGATGACATCATCTGTCTCCAACAGGGACTCTGGGGACGAGGTGAGGTCGCTGTCCAGCCCCATGTCCGAGTCGGTGCTGCTGTCATCGCTGATCTTGATGACAACCCCTTGGTCACAGGGACCCCGCAGAGCCTTGGGGCAGCGGCCCCTGGGACGCCCTGCAGCAGAGAGGGAGCAGTGTCACAGCCCCAGCACCAGCAGGACACCAGTGCAGGACACAGGGACAGGGCAGACAGGGACAGTGCAGAGACAGGAGGAGGAGGAGGAGTCCCAAAAGAGCTGAGCCTGCCCCAAATGACAATGGGACCTCAGAAAGACACAGCCTCTGGGGTGGGGGTGGCAGTTAGGGAGGGAGGGAGAGCAGGAGAGACAAAGGAAGAGAGAGAAAGGAAGAACAAGGCACTCCTGAGCAGGGCTGAAGTTGGCTGCACACATGGCTGGCTCTAAGCAGTGCCAGCTCCTCAGGGAAGGAATCCCAGGGCATTGCCTCCAGAGGAGTGTGCAGAACACAGGTAGGTACTGGTGCTGTGGGACATGAAGCACAGCACAATGTGCCCCCTCTGCATAAGAAGGGTTCATGGATCAGGCTGCTCCACAACCTGCCAGTGCTGCTGCCCCCTCTTCCCCCTGTTCCACATCCCAAACTCTTCTTACCTGCAGCCACAACAAATAATTCAGCAGGGAATTTTTTTTTTTTCCTCAGGACACCTTCTGTGCTCTAAGTAAGGGGTTGTGGAGGACCCCCCTTGCTGCAGGAGGAGTTCAGACACCAGCCAGGCCTTGTGCCATCTGCCCCAGCGTGGGTTGAGGGGAAGGATCAGGGCAAGGGCAGTGAAGCAGAGGGAGGAAAAGGGGGGAAGGCCCAGAGCTGCTGTCCTCTGGATGAGGGAGCACTGGGAGATGTGCAGGAGGGCAAATCAAAACCAGGGAGAGCAGCAAAAAGCATGGCAAAAGGCAGAGAAGCTGAGTGGCTGGGGGGCAGCAGCAGGGCAGGAGGCAGGGGCTGGGCTGGGAGTGAGGGAGATCTTACGTTTTCTTTTAATGCCAGTTCCTTTTTCTCTCTTTCTTTTGTTTGAAGGAAAGTGCTTCTGAATTAGTGATAGAAAGACGCCTCTGAAAGTAAGATGCAAAATTTATTCCAGCTGCCAGCAACACGTGCTGGTCATCACATAGCAATGTGTGTTTGGGATAGCCCCATGTTCCATGGAAGAGAGGTCAATCCACCCCATCCATGGCCACCAGCTTGGCCTCAGCCAGCCCCTGGTACAAGGTGGCTCTTGGACCTGCAGGTTGTTTATATAACAACCAAGAAGGAGTTTTAAATGGGAAACACTACACTGGGAAACTGCTACACCAAAAATACAGCAACTCCAGTGTCCCAGTCCCTCTCCATGCCCTGAGAGCACAGACCACTGTCAGGCCATCCAATAAATATGTTCCACCTCAGCCCTCCAACTCCCTGGCCGTGGGCCTGCTTCCCACAAAACCAAGGGACAGAACATGGATCTGTAGTGGTTCCAAGTGAATGGAAGGAAAAAAAAGTCAGAAAAGGTGAAAATCAAAGGTTTCTGTGGGCTGTTCAGCAAATCAAAGACCAAATGTTTAAATGCTGTCTGTGTGGATGAACCCCCAGGGCAATGGGGTGGTGCTGATTGAGTTCTGCTTGAAAAAAAAAAAACAAACCAAAAAACCTCCAAACCAAACATAGCAAGCACCAGGTGAGAGGATGGACATGACAACAACTCCCCTGGGTGAGAAAAGGGAGACTTAGGAACTGGGGAGGGAGCTCCAGGACCCTTGGCATGAGGGGCTGAAGGGGACAGTGACCACACTGCTCCCCAGAGGGACAGAGCTCTGTGTCTGCAGTTATGTGACACCAGCTATGACCCCTGTCCTGTGTGCTGGGTGACCCAATGACCACTGACTCTGGAGCCTCCCAGCTGTGAAATTCCACTCATTTCCCACACTCCCCTCCCCATCTCTCTGGAAACAGCCCTGGGCTGGAATCCACCCACCACAGGACCATGTTTATTTTTAACCCCATTTCTCAGCATCTTTAAACTGCTCCTTCCCAGCACAGTCCCCTCCAGAAATCCCCTGAAGTGCTGGAACACCAGGACACACATTTGGAGGCTGAGCAGATGCCAGGAGACACTTGGTGATCTGGCCAGGACTGTGGAACACAGAGCTGCTGCCTCTGGGAGTGGGCAGCAATCCACACAGAGTGGGACAGACAGACAGACCCCTGACAGACCCCTCCTCCAGCACCACTCAGCCAGGCACCACGCTGTCCCCTAGACTGGAGTTCTGTGACGTGGAAACCAATCCAAGGGGCCAAATCACCCAAGGAGCTGCCAGACCTGCCCTGTGCACTGTCACCAAAGTGTACTTGGCTCTCAGAAATGGGCTGGAGGCAGAGGAGTGACACAGACCAACCCAAAGCCCCCTCACCAGGGGAGGAAAGCTCAGCCTAACCCAGCCTCAGGCTGCTCTGGGCATGTCCCACTGCTCCCACCTGCAGCAGAAGTCACTTGGAAGAAAACAGCTCTGCAGAACAGCAGAAACCCAACCCAATGCCAGATTTTTGTCCCCTGTCATGCAGGAGCAGCTGCATTCAGGGATGGGTTGGGGTTTTGGAAGCTGCAGGAAGGGGGGGGAGCAGGAGCCTTACTCTGCTCAGAGGGCAGCACAAGTGCTGCTGCAGGCTCACTCGGGCACAGGCAGCTCTCGGTTAGCTGGGAACAATGGCCACACAGCCAGGACACTGGTGCTGATTTATACATGAGCTAAAAGCCAACACTGGTGGATTTAAACTCCACTGACACCATCTCACATCATCATCCCAGCCATCACAGTAAATTCTCTTGCTCATTTCTCCTGTGTCAACAGCCTCATTTTTCACAGCCAGATCCACACAAACTACCTCTGAGCTACAATTCTGCCTCTCTTTCTGACAATTCTTTTATGTGTGCAGAGAGTAGGATCAGGCTCTTCCTGTAAGTCCATGGGAGACTTCAAAATCCAGGATGCAGCTCACACAGTCCCACTGAGGATCCAGTGCCTCAAGGACCCACCTGAGTGTCCCCTCTGTGGTACAGGGGGAGGTGACACCAAACTGCATTTGAAGACCTGCCAGTGCTCTGTGCCCCAGGGCAGAGCTTTGCCCCCACACACCCCACAGAGGAAAGCAGGGATTTGTAACTCACTCTGCAGCAGAGACAAAGCAGTTGAGGTGCCCATCGTTCTCGTCCAGGACCTCCCTGGTGCGAGCCTCCCCCGTGGACTGCAGGCCGATGACAATGCACTGTGGGGACACGAGGGATGGGGGACATGAGGGGTGGCACAGTCAGGTGCCAGGGCAGCTGCACTGCCACACAGTGGCATTGCCCAGGCCCACCTATCTCCCCCTGGCCCCTGTTCCAGGTAGGTCCATGCTGGGCAGGGCTCCTGAGGAAGAATCATCTCTCAAATCTTCCAGCATCAGCACCCCCTGTGCTGACCCCACGCAGGGGGACTCTGAGCACAGAACCTCACTGACTGTGCTAGGAAGTTCCTGCCTAAAATCTCTAAGGTGCAACCAGACAGGGGAAAGGACAGAGCTGTACTTGAGGCAATATTATATGATGCGATATAATATGATGCGATATAATATAATATAATATAATATAATATAATATAATATAATATAATATAATATAATATAATATAATGTGATATGTCATGTCACGTCATGTCAAAAAGAAAAAAGGAAAAGAAAAGAAAAAAGGAAAAGAAAAGAAAAAAGGAAAAGAAAAGAAAAAAGGAAAAGAAAAGAAAAAAGGAAAAGAAAAGAAAAAAGGAAAAGAAAAGAAGAAAAGAAAAGAAAAGAAAAGAAAAGAAAAGAAAAGAAAAGAAAAGAAAAGAAAAGAAAAGAAAAGAAAAGAAAAGAAAAGAAAAGAAAAGAAAAGAAAAGAAAAGAGGAAAAGAAAAGAAAAGAGGAAAAGAAAAGAAAAAAGGAAAAGAAAAGAAAAGAAAAGAAAAGAAAAGAAAAGAAAAGAAAAGAAAAGAAAAGAAAAGAAAAGAAAAGAAAAGAAAAGAAAAGAAAAGAAAAGAAAAGAAAAGATTAGCCTTCTAAGAACTTGGGTCAGATTCACTCATCTCTCACCTCCTCTTGGGGACCCTCACAAACACAACCCCCAGGTGAGGGGTATATTATATACAATGTGATATACAATGTGATATGTCATGTCATGTCATAAATAGAATAAAATAGAATAGAATAAAATAGAATAAAATAAAATAGAATAAAATAAAATAGAATAAAATAAAATAAAATAAAATAAATAAAATAAAATAAAATAAAATAAAATAAAATAAAATAAAATATTAGCCTTCTAAGAACATGGGTCAGATTCACTCATCTCTCACCTCCTCCTGGGGACCCTCACAAACACAACCCCCAGGTGAGGCTCCCATACCTTGTCCCTGGCCAGCTCCTCCCGGGCCAGCTCCACGAGGCGCCGCACCTTGGCGGCGATGCACAGGTACTTGAAGAAGCGCTGGTGAGCCGACCAGAACTGACCCCACAGGGACTTGCGAGACTCCAGGCCGATGCAGTCAGCTGCCTGCTGGAACACCATCAAGGCCTCTGCCCACTGCGGGTAACACCAAGGAGAATGAGTTAATGTAACTCCCATTGTCGTTCCTGTCGTGCAGGACGTGATCAGAACAGGTTTGATGATCTGATTGAGAATCAACACTGGGCATCCCCTCAGGAGGTGATGAGAACAGGCTGAAGGTTTGATAATCTGATTGAGAATCAAAACTGGGCATCCCCTCAGGAGGTGATCAGATCAGGCTGAAGGTTTGATGATCTGATTGAGAATCAAAACTGGGCATTCTCTCCATCAGCACGATGCAGCTCTTGGTTTGCAAATGTGGAACTTCCAAATAGAGGCAAAAAAGTCTAAGTTCTTTCATTATATCAGCTGAGCAATGTGTACCTCTTTTCCTTCCTATGTTTGTGTCACTGACATATTTTAGGAAAATCTTTTTGCTAGGATTTTTCTCCTGAGAGGCTGAGAAGCCTCAGAAAAGAAATGTAAACAATAATTATCTGATGGCTGTAGAGTGTGGTCTAGAGATGGTTTACCAACAGGTGCATCTTTGATTAGTTCCATGTAGATTGTTTTTACTTGATGACCAATCACGGTCCAGCTGTGTCAGACTCTCTGGTCAGTCACAAGATTTTATTATCATTCTTTTCTAGCCTTCTGATGTCTCCTTTCTCTTTCTTTAGTATAGTTTTAGTATAGTGTAGCCATGATAATTTCTGAAAAATCTCTTTGCTAGGATTTTTCTCCTGAGAAGTTCAGAGGCCTCAGAAACAAAATGTAAACAATGGTTATCTGCTGCTGTGGAAAGCAACAGGTGGATCTGGGATTGATCTCATGTGGTTGTTTCTAATTAATGGCCAATCACAGCCCAGCTGTCTCGGACTCTCTGAGAGCCACCAGCTTTTGTTATCATTCCATTCCTTTCCTTTCAAGCCTTCTGATGAAATCCTTTCTTCTATTCTTTTAGTATAGTTTTAATATAGCATTTTCTTTTAATATAATATATATCATAAAATAATAAATCAGCCTTCTGAAACATGGAGTCAAGATTCTCATCTCTTCCCTCATCTTGGGACCCCTGTGAACACCAGCACAATTGGTGACCCCGAGTGAGGAAAAATTCCACAGTACAGCATTTTTAATATAATATAATATCATATCATAAAATAATAAATCAACCTTCTGAAACATAGAGTCAAGATTCTCATCTCTTCCCTCGTCCTGAAGACTCTCAAACACCACCACACCTTTGAGGTCATGGCCACATTTAGGGGCCTCACAGCCTCCCACACACTGGTGGCTGTGCCCAAAGCATGGTCAGACCCCAGCCTCCCACTCCAAGGGGCCCAGCTCACCAGCTTGGCTGCCTTGTCGTAGACAGCCTTGTACTTCTCATCCAGAGGGATCTCCTCAATCCTGAAGGTCACCCCAGTGAAGCTGAGCTGCCGAGCAATGTACATCCCACTGACCTTCATGTCCATGGCCACGATCTCCATCGCGCCAACTCCCCTGGCAGAGGACAACAGTTGTGGGACCCACCTCGGAGCCCCAGCTCTGAGCCCCAGCTGTGGGTCCAGCTTTGGAACTCTGTGGATATTCTCAGTTCAGTCAAAGAAAGAACGGAGATAATTTCTCCCAGGCCAAGCCTGGGAAACTGAGAGAAAAGAATTAAAACAATTATTATCTCTCTTTCTGTAACTGCTGTTTATAGATATGGTTCTCCAGAGTGTGCTATTCATAGTTCACCAATAGTGTGAGAGGTTCTTGAGACCAATCAAGTCTCACCTTAACGAGTCACATTATAAAAGACCCCCCTACCTTTATTAAATTGCCTTCTGATTCACCTTCTGAAGACTGGAGTCCTTCATTCCATCCCTGACTCAACAGCATCAGAACCCCAGCTGTGGAACCCCAGTTGTGAACCCCAGCTGTGGAACCCCAGTTGTGAACCTCAGCTCTGAACCCCAGCTGTGGGTCCAGCTGTGGAACCCCAGTTGTGATCCTCAGCTATGGAACCCCAGTTGTGAACCCCAAGTGTGGAACCCCAGTTTTGAACCCCAGCTGGGGAACCCCAGTTTTGAATCCCAGCTCTGAACCCCAGCTGTGGGTCCAAGTTTGGAACCCCAGTTGTGATCCTCAGCTTTGGAACCCCAGTTTTGAACCCCAGCTGTGGAACCCCAGCTGTGGAACCCCAGTTGTGATCCTCAGCTCAGAGTCCCAGCTGTGGGACCTTCCCTCTGCTCAGAGGCAGCACAGGGCAGGTTCTTCTCCAGAAGCAGCCCCACCCCAGCTCTGTGGGACGCTGCCCACCCCATCCTTGGGCACTGCACCCCGTCCCACACAAGGCACTGGGCAGGACTCACCTCTTCTCAATGGCGTGCAGGAACTCATCGAAGGCTCGGAACGGGGTTCCCTCCCCCCAGATCCCCAGGCGGCTCATGTAAATCATGTTTTTTGGCTCTGAGGCACCTGTTGGGACAGAAATCAATGTCAGCAAACCCACAGCACTTGGGAATAGCTGTGACTCAAGAGACCTCTGAAGAGGTTGTCATTTGCCATTGTGCCTTTGGAGAACTTTCTGAACATTGCCCTCCCTACATTCCGTGGGTAAACATCACAAAGCAGCTGGAACAGCTGGCCAGGAACAAGTTAAACTGGAGAGAAATTAATCTGACCCACCAAAATGTCACAAGTGACATCAGTGATGGGGCTTGGGGCACATCTCAGCGTGCTGAGCTCCTCTCTAGCCCCGCAGCACCACTGGCTTCTCCTTACAGGATCTCACACACACTCACACCTCAGGGTGCCCCTTCAGGTCAGAGGGGACCTCTGCCACTCTCACACCCACCCTGTGGGCAGAGCAGCTCACCTGTGGCACTGGCATAGACAACCCTTGCTCGAGGCAGCTTGTTCTGCAGGTCCAGCACTGCTTTGCCCATTTTGGTAGAGCTGGCGTTTTTGGCTTTGTGGCATTCATCAAACACAATCTGGAGGGGAGTGGCAGTTAAGGAGAAAGGATCTATTTTCATCCAGAGGATGGGAGCAGACAGAAAATAGAACCTAGTCTCCTCCAGGCAACTGAACAACCTGTCCCAGTATCAACAGGACTGACTCATGGCCCACACGTGGAATCTGCTGGGTTTGCCCAGCCCTGTGCTCCTCAGATCCAAAGTCATCCACCCCTCCCTCTCCCTTCACCTCCAAGGTGTGTCTTGTAATACTGAGGGAAAGGAATGCTGAAAAGGTTAATCCCAGCTGCTTCTTCCCCTCCTCCTCTTAACTACATCCTGGAGGAGGAGGAGGAGGAGGAGAAGTGAGTGTGGGGGATTCCTGTCTCCTGAAGGCACTGGGCTGCTCCCTGTGATTTCACACAGCCCCGGGCTCTTTGTTCCCTGCTGAAGCACAATTAAAAGCAGCAGTTCCTCTCTCTCACTCTCTCCAGTTTTTGTCTCTTGTTTTTTGTTTTTTTTTAAGGATACAACTCCCTCAAAGTTTTCCCTGCACCACTCCAAAATCTGTTTTAAGCGCGTCCTGTGCTGTCCCCCGGCCTGGCTTTCACCGATCAGCGCCGAGTAGGTGGCAAAGAGGACTCCTTCTGAGGTAGCTGTGTCACCATATTTAATCTGCAGGAAGAGGAGCAGGAGCACACACACACACTGTGACTGTTGTCCTCAGAATGTCACACCCATCCCTGCCCACATTCCGTGCTGTGCGCATTCCCGCTCTGAGAACAAATCCCAGCCTAAGCTCAGAACAGGCAAAAAGCTGTTGGTAGCTGATGTCTTCAGCATTTGTGTTTGGCACTGAAATATTGTGATGACAGGGACTGTAAATGCCTGGAGAAGTGCCCCAGCCAATGTGTCAGCACATCTGCAAGCCTGCAGTGAACCATGGGGACCGTGCGAGGACAGAGATTTTCTGGCAAAAAAAAAAGTGCTTCCTTTTTTTAAGCAACAGTTTAGTCTTTGACCCTTCCTGTCTGTTTTAATTCCTTCTAGAAAATCATTTTCTCTTTGACCAGGTGAGATTGTTGCCTGTATCACTGCCATGGGTCCCACATGTAATGAAGTACAAGGGGGAAAGGCTTGGTCCCAAGCTGAAGAAAGTTCCATTTGAAGTCTTTTGGGGTTGAACACAAAATCCCTTTCACTCTCTTAGTGGAGCACATTCAGAGGTGTCAAACACCTGTGGTTTCTCTGTAAGAGCTGGTTGTTCAATACCATTAAAACCAGAGGAGAGGATGTAAGTGAACTGGAAGACACTGGACAGAGACTCGACCACAGGCCACAACAGACACCAGTCCAGGCATCTCTGTTCTCCCTACAGCTCTGAGAAGTGATTCCATGGGTCAGCACTGGGAAAGGCTGGCCCAGGAGAGCAGAGCACATCTCACAGAGCTGTTCTCTCCACAGGATTTCTTAAGAATGGTGAAGAAGGTTCCAGTTCTGCTGCTGCACCTGCCTGCAGTCACTTCCCACTCCCTGCAGGGAACAGCTCTGTGCTCCCTGTGCAGCTCCACAATAAAAATAACTGGGAAGAGCTGGCTGGGAGGAGGGAACAGAAGCTCTGCTGCTGCCTGAGCCTCGTCCTGCTCCACGTGCTCAGCCAGAGCCTGCAGCTGCTGCTGATTCCCAGAGCAGCAGTGCAGCTCCTCTCCTACCTTGTTCAGAGCATGCACAGGAATGTGGGAGGCCTCGATGTCCTTCAGGTCTCTCTCAGCATCGTACTTGAGATCATTGGAGACGCTGAACCTGTGAAGGAGATGTGGGGTGGTTATCTCCTCCTGGGGCTGGGGATGTCCCCAGGGAGTCAGGACACAGGGTGATTAACAGCTCTGATTAAAGCACGAGGAGCTGTGCAGAGTTTTCACATCTGCCACTGCCCACAGCCCCCAGAGTGAGATCTGACAGCCCATCTGCCCCTCAGCACAGGCTGTGATCTGCAGCACAACCCCTTATTCCTGGCTCTGCACCCAGGAAACCCAGGAACAACCCTCCACAACTGCAGGGAGAGCAGGGCCAGGCTTGACACCTCACCCCAAGGAGCACAAAACCTGTTATTTCACAGTGACTCATTCCCCATTCCTGCTGCAGGGGGAATATTCCCATTTCACAGGCAGCAGTCAGGCACTAAGAGGTGGAAAGGACTTACCCAAGGCCACAGCATGACTCAACTCTAAAGCCAACATCAGCACTAAAGAATTCCTTACTTCCAGATCCAAACTTACTCCAAGGTCTTACGGGAAAAGAGGAAAAAAAAAAAAAACCAACAACTTACCACAGAGCTTTTTTCCTCCCTTTAAGATAATTTTCAAAGATGATGCCTGCAACAGTCCTGCCCTTCCCGACTCCAGCACCGTCCCCGATCAGAAACCCAGCTCGCTGCCCGTTGGGCAATAAAACTTCATGTTGCTGCAAAATCAAGAACAGAACTGAAAATTAAACTTAAAATTAAAGATTTGCCTTTGCTGAGAGCTCTGATGTGAGCAGCACTTAACCCTTTCACACATCCCACAGATGCATGTGCACTGCTCAGCCAAACAACAGCAGGAAAGGTCAGGAGTCGTGATCAAGCTCACAAGTGGCAATTCATGGAAAAGGCCCCCCAAATGTAAAACCCTCTGCAAGAAAAGTCCAGGGTTCTTGCTTCTTTGGGAAACAGACCACACAGAAGCCCCCTTTGGAAGGATTCAAATAATCCTTCAAGAGGCATTTAAAATGCCAAAGGAGTTTCATCACCCAAATTACAGTCATTTTAAAACACACGTGAACACCTGGCCCTGCAAGAGGCATTTTCCTTCAGGTGTGAGACAGCTGAGGTGCAGGAGGTACCTGGCAGGCGTAGATGATGGCTTCCAGCTGTAGTGCAGACAGGGAGCCTTTGTCAGCCACGGAGCTGGGCAGGGAAAGGCTGTAGGTAATGTCAGGGGGGGGGACACTGGACAGGGTGCTCGTCTCAACCACCAGGTCAGGATGGTGCTTCCCAATCTTGGCTGAATGACAACAGAACACAGGTCAGCCCAGGTCTTTTCTCCCAGAGCTCATCACCCAGCCAGAGCCCAGGGCACTGTGGAGCTCTCCCTAGAAAACCACAAGCCTGGGAGGTGCCACAGCAAACACACAATTAAATTAGGTTGGTGCACAATGGAGTGAACAGAGCTTCCCAAGGCAACACTCACACTTTGAAGGGATATATTCTGCATACGTCTCCGTCTGCCCCAACTCTTCTGTTTCCTCCTCCTCACCTTCATCTTCCTCCTCTGCAGGAGCCTGAGACTGAAGAAAACAGCATTGACCCAATGTTAATGTTCTTGCTGAGCTACAGAAATGAGTTGTGCTGTGCCCAGCCTCAAACTGCCACTGAAACCATCCCCAAAAAGCTACAACCCTCCTAAAAATCACAATCTATCTCATTCCCAGACTAAGGACAGCCTGTGCCCAGCCTCAAACTGCCACTGAAACCATCCCCAAAGCTACAACCCTCCTAAAAATCCCAATCCATCTCATTCCCAGACTAAGGACAGCCTGTGCCCAGCCTCAAACTGCCACTGAAACCATCCCCAAAAGCTACAACCCCCCTCAAAATCCCAATCCATCTCATTCCCAGACTAAGATCAGTGGGAGCCCACCCCAGGGGCTGTAAAAGCTGCCCCAATGCCTGGTTCTCACCAAACTGGGGAAAGTTGTTGGCACCACTCCTGGCATGGGCTGTGGGGTCATGTGAACCCTGCCCAACCTGCCCTGAGCGGGCACCTGGCCCAGCTTTACACCCAGAGCTGTGCCCACAGCAGAGAGCAAAGTCCTCAGAGCCCAAAGCTCTGAGCAGGCTCCCCTCTGGGAAATGTAACACACTTCTGGGAAGGGCAGGGACTTGTGCCTGTCTGAGCTTCCTGTCTCACTCCCTCTGAAGGGATAAAGGTCAGAAATGCTTCCCCCAGCACTGGGATGTCACCAGGAGCATCCCACTGAGGCTCTCACCTGGTAGCTGATGAGGAGTGGGGTGCTGGGGACAGCAGGAACGTGGTCACTGGAGCTGTTCAGGCCAGGGAATGGTGTGCTGGGTGAGAACAGCTGCAACACAGAGCGTGCAGGTGAGGAAGGGCAAACATGGACATGCACCAACAAAGATCCTTGGACACTCTGATCCCTGGACCATGCAGCTTGCCAGGAGAGAACTCCCAAGACACTCCACAAGGAGAGAGAACTCCTAAGAAATTCCAGGCTGAGGAGATCCTTCTCTGCTCCCACACAAACAAATTCACCCTGGAATTTCCCGACAGAGAGCAAGGTCAGGCCAGCAGCTCGTGGCATCCAGGAGCAGCTCTACTCCAAGTTTACAGCCTGTGCAGAGCGCCAGGCTCAATGACAGACCCAGGCTCCACCAGCAGCAGAGAAACATGGGAAGTTCTTAGGCATAAACACTCCTATTTTTAAATAAAATTTAAGAAAAATAAAAAGAAGAAGAAAGAAAAAAACCCACCCTCCATTCCTGGAAGCCTGAGTCAGAATTACCAGAAGGAAGCTGGACAGAACAAGTGTTTTCAGTGCCAGCAAATCTGGAGAGCAGGTGAAACATCCCCACCTACAAATCCAAGCTCAGTTTGGTCTCAGACAGGAGAAAGGCCAGGAGCTGCTGGAAGGGCAGGATGTGTTCTTGAAGCTCCAGCAGCAGGAAGCAAATGCAAGGCTGAGTTTGCATCCCAAAAATCCCCAAAGAACAAACCTTTGCTATCCTGACCCAGCTTTGGCACTCAGCATTCCACCTCAGCAATTGCAGAGGAAGCAACAGGAACCTTGGCTGTTGGGGGCATTTGAAAACCACCCACACAGGTGAGAATGTGCTGTGAGGGTCAAAGCAGGTGGGAGCAGGAGCTGCAGTGGGAGATGGATCATCCACCTGTACAATTCCTGCCTTTCCCTACCCTCCCTCACCTCCTGGTTTGATTTTCTCCTCCCTCGGTGCTAAGAACATCCAGAGAAGAGAAACACAGATCCATGAGAGCACAGGGCTGGAAGTAGGAGAGAGACCAACAATTGCACAATCACAGCCTTGCTCTTACTCTGCTTTTTTCTCCTCTGCATTTTTCTCCATTTTGTCCCACCTTGCAGTGACTCCCCTGGACTGGAATCAGTCCCACGTGGCTGCCAAGCCAACCTCTCTCTGTGTAAATCCCTTCCCTGGGTTCTGAGCTGGGAGAAAGCTGCTCACATCTTGAACATAACTGTGAATGAGCAATAAAAAACTGCATCAGCAGCTCTCAAATTCCAGTCACAGGCTTCCAAGGCTGGGCTGTGCCTCCCAGCCTTAAAAACACTGGGAATGTGTGAGATGGATGACAGAAAACACAATGTATGACAGGGACTATTTTTAAAAGGTTATTTCACAACTCCATTACAATCAAAGCTGTTTGTCTGCTGCTCCTGCAAATATTTCACAGGGTAGCAGCTCTTCCCTCTCTGCCCATTCCTGAGTGATAAACAGAGCCAACACATTGGATACAGCTCCTTTCCTTGGGATAACAGCTCTCCCCACTGGCACACAGAGGCACTTCTGTGTGCAGCCCTTTCCACTTTGATCCCAAAGCACCTCAATCCAGGGATTCTCAGCGAGCTAGGAATGTTTATTTTTAAAGAGGACAAAGCACAAGGCTGTTCCTGTACCTGGGATCCACAGATGAGTCTCCCCCCAGGATTTATCCAGCTTGGCTCCTGGGATGTCCCATCTATCAGAACTTTGAGAGATTGATGTTCCTGCTCTGTCTGGGTCTCTGAGACAAAAGGTCTAGAAAAAACTACACTCCTGATGACCCAGCAGTGGACTGTGGGTCAGAACTGGCTGCACAGCCACAGATGAGGGATGGATCACAGGAATCAGGATGCAACGTGATGGATTTTCCATCACTGCAGCTTAGTGACTGCTCTGGCTGCTCAAAACCCAAAGTTCCTGCAATTCCATGGAAAACTAGGATGGTGTGGTGATGTGGGGAGGCACAAGATTATCAAAGCTGCTGATATCCCACACCAATATGCAGAGGCCAGTGGGGAATCAAACTGGCAGTACTTTTACCCAGTGCCCCAGTACATGGTGCCACTTGCACACAATAATGAAACCAAAATCTCCTGTCCATGAGGCACCTCACTGACACCACCTCAGGAAATGTTACTCAGATGAAAAACAGCCCAAAAAAGCAGCAACCCTGCCCCAACTGCCTCAGCAAACACAGATAAGACAACGGTTCAAAATTAGCTGGAGATTCCTTTCCAAAGGAAGTCGTTTATAAATGGAATTCCAAGGAGTTAATTGGCCTTATCTGAGCCCAAGAGCTCAGCAGGACACAAGGGTAGAGGGCAGGGCATGAGGAACAGCATGGGACAGGGACAAGGAACAGCACAGGGACAAGGACTCTGCTGGAGATCCTGCTGTGGTCACACAAATCAGTCTCACACTTACACAACGATTATTTCTCCTTTGTTTTCTTCATGCTGCATTTAGAACAGCATTTCCCAGTAAGTTTTTGTTGTCCACTCCACAGACACAGAACTCCAGGATTTTCTAGGCATTCAATGTCTCAACCAGAGTTCACATGATTGGAAAGAGCCCACCACAGAACCATTTCTGAGGAGATTTAGGCTTTTACATAAAAACCCAACAATAATATGAAAACAGGAGCAATGTGGCACATGGCTCCTCTGTCCTGGGGGATGCATCTGCTCTCCAGCATTTTTAACCATCCAGTTTGCAAGCCTGGGATGTCTGCAGCCACTTCTTGCATTCCAATAGCTCAGCTCTCTTCCTGCTGCCTCAAACTGCAAGTTCCAACTGGTCCGAGGCTTGCAGAAGGAACAGCTCAGGGAAGCACAGTCAGAGAAACTGAGCACAGCAGAGCCTCAAAATGTAGCAGTGATTACCCCAGCTCCCTCCTGGGGTAGCCACTTTGGGTGTTTTTCCCTCATTCTTCCTAGGAGAGTGACCTGCAGTGGAAATGTGAGGCACAGATGGACAAGAACTGCAAGAGCTGAGACCCAGATCCAGTGGATGTGGATGATGTGGTCCCAACAACCACTCTCTGCAGAGCAGAGAGCAGAAGGCTGGTGAAAATGCCCAAAAAATGCCCACAATCAGGTGATGCTGAAGGACTGCAAGGAGCTCCTGAACCCCAGAAAACTCTGGGATGTAAAAGCTTGCAGGGACTTGCACTCACAAAGTAAACACAAATGGTGAGTCTGAAGTTGAGACAGTTATTCAGTCATTGTTGCTGAACTGTTTGCCCTGGTGAACAAACAAAAGGTGCTGCTGTAGGGGGAAGTTAATGATGCATGTCAGGGTGGTTTTCCTGGAGTCCATCCCTTCAGCACTCCCAAGAACCCTGGACCTGCTGGATTTAACCCCACTTCACCCCTTCCCTGCACCAGTGAAATAACATCACCACACCTCAAACTTCACCCAAAAGAGCTGGGTTGGTTTCTTAATTCTTTGGTAAAACCCCCAAGGGATGAAGGCTGAGGCACCTCCTGTCTGTTGGGAGGATGGGAAAGGAGCAGCCCTGTCCTGGACTGCCAAGCAAATTGTATTCTATTTGCCATCTGCATGGCAGTTTCTTCTGTTCAGTGGGCAGTTTTCCTTAATTCTTCCACAACCACTCCTCCCTCCAAAAACAGCTGCTGATAACAGGTTATTGAATGTCCCTGCATGGCTGATAAGAACTACAGCATCCCATTGGGAGATGTGAGCCCAGGGGGAGGAGCCAAGCATTCCTGCCTGGATATAATCTGGAGATTCTGGAACACCAGCACAGCTTCTGCACTGGATTTCCCAGAGGAACAGCAGCTGCCTCTTGCCCTGGATCTCCAGAGGCAGAGACTGCACCTTTCTCCAGGATCCCTGCTCCAGCAGAGCCACCCCTGGCACTGCAGGAGGGCTGAGCCACAATTCCAATGGGACTGCTGCCAGCACCCTGACCCACAGGGTGTCAGGCTGTGCTCTGACTCTGTCAGTGTTGTTTTAGTGTAGTGCATTGTTTATTTTATCCTTTTATTTTCTTCCCTATTAAAGAACTGTTATTCCTGCTCCCATAGTTTTTGCCTGAGAGCCCCTTAATTTAAAATTTATAGCATTTCGGAGGGAGGGGGTTTACATTTTCCATTTCAGGGGAGGCTCCTGCCTTCCTTAGCAGACACCTGTCTTTCCAAACTGTGAAAAATGCGTATTTTATGATTGGCTTTTCGCAAATATTAAAATGAATATTATATGTGTTATGTTGGAAATTGATGCTGTATTAATTTTCTTAAGCAGTGTGTTAAATATAGTTTTAGTTCATAACATAAGGTTAGAATAGAAACTATGCTATGTAGATACTTTTTTCCTAAAGAAAGGACTCTCACTGAGATAGCAGGCACAGGACACCTGAATCTTTCAGAGAAAGAGAATTTATTGCTCCATTATCAGAAGAAACGAACTTCTTCCTGCCTCACTCAGCCATGACAACCCTGTTAGGATTCAGAGGAAGAAGCTGACACTGACCAGACAGAATCCTGTGTTTGAATGGAATTTATGCATCAGGTATGAGATGTATGAATATGCAACAGGCTGTTGCTTTTAAGGGTTAATCCTCTGTAATGTGTGTCCTTTCTCGGGCTTATTTTGCCCAGAAAGAGGTACCTGGATGTCCATAACTCTTTGTTTCTATTGTCTCATATTGCCCTAATCCAAATTGTCCAAATTATTATTACTCTAATTATATTACTACTTTTATAACCATTTCATTACTATTAAACTTTTAAAATTTTAAAACCAAGTGATTGGGCGTTTTTCACCAAACCAAGACAAGCCCCTACCTCGATCTGGTTCTGCTGAGGTGTGTTCACATCCCACAGCGTTGGTGTTTTTCACCAAACCAAGAGAAGCCCCTACCTCGATCTGGTTCTGCTGAGGTGTGTTCACATCCCACAGCGTTGGTGTTTTTCAGCAAACCAAGACAAGCCCCTACCTCGATCTGGTTCTGCTGAGGTGTGTTCACAACCCACAGCATTGGTGTTTTTCAGCAAACCAAGACAAGCCCCTACCTCGATCTGGTTCTGCTGAGGTGTGTTCACATCCCACAGCGTTGGCACGTGGCTCAGGCTGTCGGCGGGCAGGAAGTCCTTGGCATCCACGATGTCCGAGAGGGAATCCGCAGGGGATGAGAACAGGGAGTTGTTGTTAGAGAGCTCATTGAGGTATGAAGAATCCTGGAACACAAAGCATGGCCGTGGTTGGAGGAGGAAGGATGAGAGCAAAGATCCCTCCTTACTCAGCCAGCAAGTTGTAATTTCTTTCTGCTCAATGAGCGTCTCCGTTGCTTTGTGCTCTACAGATCGCAGGAATTAACCTGGAACTGAGGACATGCTCTGTGGTGCTGTTTGAAAATCTGTTTCTTGAAAAAGCAGGAAAAGCCCTGGCCTGGAGTGTGGGTACACAGTCAAGGCTGACTTAGGCTGTGCACATCCCTGCACCATGGACTGGGAGAGAGAGGAGAATCCAACGTGGCATCGCTCAACTCCACTTTGTGCCTGATTAAAAAAGGCTGCTGAGGGCTGCAAAGGCTTCACCTTGGCCCCAAAGGAGTCGAGGATTTCATTCATGTGCAGGGGCCCCCAGAGACCCAGCTACACTCAATCATAGTGTGGCTGTTTCACTGTAATTTCCCATGCAGCACTACCTGTAGGAAACATCCCTCTCCTCCTGGCAGTTTCTACACACACGAGGCTGCCAGGAGCAGGGGAAGCAGTGCTGGTGTCACCTGGATTTGAATCGAGGTAAATGCAGGCAGATCTACCAATCCTCCTCCCAAGGGCCAGCCCCAGCCTGGACAAGGAACATCCTTCAGCAACAGGGACCATGCTCTGCTCTGCCCTTGCTCCTCTTCTGGTGACTGGGTTGGATGGTTTGCAACTGTTTTATTTGGTGCCAGCCCAGTGATGCTGCTGGTTTGAGTCACACAGACTTTGGCTCAGAAAGAGCCATCAATCCCCTCCCTAACATGAAGCCCATGTCTGATTTCCCTATTTCAGGTGGCAAGAGCCAATAAGCACTTCTTGCTCTGCATTCTTCACTGTGGCACAGACCCTGCCCCTTCCCCAGCTCCATCCCATCACCTCAGCCCTCCTCCCACACCAAGCAGCACCTTCAAATTTCGTCAAAGCAGAAAAACTTTGCTGTTAATTAAGAGCCATGTACTTCCAGCAGCAAACTCCAGCACTCAGGTCTGGCAGGAGAGGAGCCTGTGTCTGTGAGGGAAGGGCAAAGGGACCAACAGGTCTGTCTTGGTGGCCCTAGAGAGCCCTAGAGATGCTGCACAGCCCAGCCAGAGCACCAGGGTAACCCAACAGGCTGCTGCCAGCAGAGCCAGGGGCTGGTACAGGAGGAATCACTGCTCACTTCCAGTAAAGGGCCAATTTCCCACTACAGGCAGAAAGGCAGCCAAAGACTCTTAAAAGTCACTTAGCCCTGCCTGACAAAGCCACGAGGAGCTGAGCCTGGCTGTGCTGCTGCTCCCAAGGGCTTCAGGCCAAGAGCTGGGTCAGAATCCCCCTGATTGCTGTCAAAAGTTATGGGCTTGTAGGGTTTAAACCACTGGGACATGTTCCTTTACCCTTCTTCCCAGGGATGTCTCATTTGCCAATGTGTGCCCTGAAGCCATTAGTGCAGGTGCTGGAAGCACTCCAGCAATGGCAGGTGTGATGTGGGGAGTTTGAATTCCTCAATTACCAACTGGTGGACCTAAAGACTCAGGGAGTGAGGGCAGCAGCTCCTGCTCCTGCTATTTCTGTGGCTATTTTAGGATTACCCAGAAATCAAGGCATCCAGAGACTGAACAGGCACCCAGATTTATCACCTTGGAATTAAGGGAGCCCTGGACTCCCTTCAACACTCCAGAAAGCAGAAGAACACTTGGGTGGATGTGGTCATGGCCAGAGTGAGTGGCCTGTGCAGGATCCAGATGGTCCCAGATCCCACCCAGCCCCACTGCTGAGACGCCTCCAAGCAGGGTTTGTTCACCTGCAAAGGGCACTGACAGAGGCTGGGGAAGGAGGAAACATCTGCACACCCAGGTCATGGCAGGGGAGGCTGTGGGGCAGCACAGAGTGGCCATCAGCTCCCAACAATAGGCAAGGGCTGGGCTGGAAGAGCAACAGGATATGGGAAAGCCTCATGACCCAAGCCAAGACATTGCAGCAAACGTCACCCAGACCTTTCCATCCCCAGGGAAGACTCCAGCCCCACCACTGGGCTGAACTGGGGAGAGGAAAGCAGCCTCCAAGGCAGAGGGAGGACAATACTCCTCCTGGAAGTGATGCAGTGATCCCATCCTCTGCCAGCATTACCAGGCATTAGTCACAAACTTCCAGAATCTCTCATTTGTCTTAACTAATTGCGTTATCTAAAGAGCACTAAAATTAATCACCTGCCAGCTTCCCCACCCCAAGAACTTCCAGCACCACCACTACCTCTGCAAATTCACCAAACCCAGGGTAATTGTTTCACACAAGGCCATGGATAACCACAACCAGTGCAAACCATGCCTGGTTTATCTGCTGCAAATGGAAGCAGCTGCCTTGGTGACCTCAGGGAAAAAGAAGGATCACCACCTCAACCAAAAGGCCATGGTCAGGGTCAGTTCAGGCACTGGGGTTTGAAACATGTAATTTTGTCCCTGTTTCAGATGGATTAATCAGAATTTTAAGTTCTTCTCATTAGAAAAATGAGGTTCTACAGTAACAGCACTTCTGTTTCAGCAGAAGTCAAATTTCTGCACCAGATGGAAGTTGTTCTGACAGGCAGGATCTTTATTTCAGATACTTTTTTGCAACTGGTTTTTTACATAAATCTTATTCCTGGAATTCAGCATCTCTGTGGCATCCCCTGGACTGGCCCCAGCAGGTCCAGGCCTCTCCTGGGCCAAAGACCCAGAGCTGAAGGCAGAGCTGCAGGTGGGTCTCAGAGCAGAGGACAACCTGATGCTACTGTGGCACACAGTACTCCTGTCATTATCCCAAAACTGAGATTATGACACATTATCTCCCTAGAAAAGATCAGGAAAAAATCAAGGTACCCCAGCCCAGACATTTGATCTTTCTCCAAGCCCCTGGGAACAGCTCAGCTCCCTCAGTCAAAACAAAGTGTTAAAAATAATGAAAGAACAGGTGAAGTCTAAATACAGACAGAACAAGCATCCTAAAAATATTTTTTTTTCCATCAAGCCATCAATAGAAATGGTTTATTTTCTCACAATCCAGACACTGAGGGAGCAGTGTCTGCAGAGCAGCTCTGGATGACTGCACTGCACAGCACACATGTGAAGAGGAGGTTTTATTAAAAACCCAAAACCCTATCTAAACACCCAAATACACACCCACAATTACAGCCACACTGTCACCCAAGAGACATTTGGCACCTCAAAAGTCACAGATTAAGCAAATTATTATTCAGGAGTGACCGAATCAGCAGCTGCAGATGATCACTATAAAATCTTTCAGATGCCAAACCCCAAAGTCTGTCTAAATTTGGGACAATAAACTGACAGTGTGGAGGGTTTAGCTCCCCTTCCTTCCTGCACCCCACATTAACTTTGGAAATAAAAGCCCTTAAAGCCATCACACCTACACAAACACACGGATCAACCCTCAGAGAGCTCCTTCCCTCCAAATTCTACACTGAATAGCACCCAGGAATGCAGGTTCCAGCAAAACAGAAATCACATCTTTGAGACAAAAAAAAATTTAAAAAAATTTAAAAAAAATTTTAAAAAATCTATTCCCAGTGCCCAACATGGAGAGGTGTCACTCCCAAAACTCTGCAGCCACTGCACAACTGCCCTGGCCACCAAACACATGAGGAATTCCACCGAGGAGGAGGAGGAGGAGGAGGAAAGACCCAGGAAAAAATGAGGCTTTACCTTGTAGAGAGATGGGAACTTCAGCCAGAACTGCATTTGGGACATTTTAGAGCAGCATTCGGGGGGCTGTCGGTGCGGGAGGCAGCAGCAGGGGGAGGGTGCTCAGAGCAAAGTGCAGAAAGGTCCATTCACAGCCAGGGCTCATCAGGGGGCTTTAAAAGCCAACATGAAGCAGCCAGAGCAGGGAAAATGGAGACTCGGGGCCCGGCAGAGCCGTCCTGAGCCCGGAGATTTGCATAGACTGTTTAGTCACGACGACGAGAGGGCTCTTACTTCCTCTAAGTCCAGGGCTGACTTTCAGGAAATGATGCCTGCTTGGTAAGTCAGTGAAATTACTGGCAGTGCGAGGAGAATTACTGTACGTGGTGTAATCCAACCACAGAGCACAGTAAACAGCTCTGCGGAGCCAGAGCCTTCCAGGCTCCCTCTGCTCCTCTCCCCGGCCACCCAAAGCCAGATTTTGTCCCCCTGGCAGCCCCTGCTCTGGGCTGGGGGTCCTGCCCTTCTGTTCCTACCCCTTCACCCCCAGTTTCAGGGCTCAGGTGAAATGACAAAGCTCATGAGGAGTGTTCCCATGTTGGTGTCCCCATCAGGAGCCATGTGCTCTCTTTTTTGCCACTTTGTCCCCCTGGCAGCCCCTGCTCTGGGCTGGGGGTCCTGCCCTTCTGTTCCTACCCCTTCACCCCCAGTTTCAGGGCTCAGGTGAAGTGACAAAGCTCATGAGGAGTATTCCCATGTTGGTGTCCCCATCAGGAGCCACGTGCTCTCTTTTGTGCCACTTTGTCCCCCTGGCAGCCCCTGCTCTGGGCTGGGGGTCCTGCCCTTCTGTTCCTACCCCTTCACCCCCAGTTTCAGGGCTCAGGTGAAGTGATAAAGCTCATGAGGAGTATTCCCATGTTGGTGTCCCCCCAGAGCCATGTGCTCTCTTTGTGCCAGATTTTGTCCCCCTAGAGCCCCTGCTCTGGGCTGGGGTCCTGTCCTCCTGTCCCTAACCCTGATTTTAGGGCTCAGGTGCAGTGGTGGAAGTGACAAGGCTCATGAGGAGCATTCCCACGTTGGTGTGCCCCCCAGAGCCATGTGCTGCTCTCTTTGTCTTTGGTGTCTGCCCCACCCCAAATGGTGCCTTTAGGAATCCAGAGGAGTGGCCCATTCTCTTCCCTTTCCTCCCTGGGTCACTGTTATTTCCCAGAGGCCGTTGCCTCCTCTTTCCAAAGCTGCCCCTTTTAACTTTAACAGTTCTGGTAACAGAAATAAATTTCTGGTGGGGAAGAGAAAAAGGCACAAAAAGGGGGG